ATGATAAATGTTTGTGTTAAAACAAAGTGAATAAGGGAGTGAGGGAAATTTGAAAAATAAGTTTAACTTAATTTTTTGAAGTGAAACAAAGCAGTACTTTTTCTCCTTAATAAGTTGAAGAAAAAAAAGTAAATTACTTCAAAATAGAGAAAAAAAGCAAACTCATTGTCCCTTAAGTTGATCTTTGTAATTTTGTACTTTTTCCCCTCATTTAGTTAGATTGTTCTTTTAATGAGCTAATTAATATAATTGTCCATGATTAATCGTTAACTTCAGTGAAAAAAAACAAATAGATTGATATCACTATATATATATCAGCCAGTAACAACGTGGAAATTCGTACTAACATCAGTTCGAGTTGCCATACCACATTAGCACAGAGATGCAGTTATCGATTCAAATCCCATACTAGTAGAGGTAGTAAAAGTATAAGCAGTAATCGGAAACATAAGGGTTTGAAGATGTTATTCAAGAAGTATAATCCAGTGAAATAAAGTTGGAAAGAGAAATAAAGCGACATGAAGAATTCAGAACATTAGAATTTGGGAGAACACAAAGAGTGGATGCACCTGCGCCATTGCAAACGATTTTGAGCCATATCATTCAACGTCTCTAACCATCGGTTGCTATCATCTCGCGGTCTCCAAACAGGTAGTCTACACCTATCAACATGACTCAGTCCACTTGTCAGTGACTTCATGGACTTGTGCCATGTTTGGTCTGGCCGCCCCTAGCTTTCTTCCAACCTACTCTTACACCATAATACATCGCTCATTGGGGCATTCGGTGGTTGGGCATACGCAACACATGTCCCAGCCATCTCAACTGATGAAGTTTAACTACTTTATCAATTGATTTGCCATCCTTACCTAGTACCCGTTTCCTAACAACTGCATTACTTACTCGATGGTCCCAGGGTATATGAGCAATGCTTCGAAGACACCTATGATCGAATACTAGTAACCTAGGAATATCCTCTACTCTTACCGGCCATGTTTCACTGCCATAAAGTAGGACGGAACGAACTGCTGCGCAGTAAGCCCGTCCTCTGGTTGACAGACGGATATCTCACCTACGCCATAAATGACGCAAGTTGGCAAAAGCTAGTCAAGCCTTCCGTATCCGTGCTGAGATTTCGTCAAACACCAGACCACAAGGGCTGATGAAACTTCGACACGCTCAACTACTTCACTCCCTATCATTAGTTCGGGTGTCGATGCAACCCAATCCTGAAGCAACATTCTGCATTTCGAGGGGGAGAATCGCATCCCGAACATGTTTGCATTGTCGTTTAGAGTGGTCAGAAGACTGCATTCTGTCAGCGTCTTCACCAAATAGAACTATGTCATCAGTATATTCTAAGTCAACAAGTGGACCTCCTGGTAGAAGTCCAACTCCTGGAAATTTAGATGAGGAAAGTGTTATCTCTAAAAGCACGTCAGCGACAAAGTTGAACAAGAATGGAGAGAGTGGACAACCCTGATGAACATTACTTGAAGTAATCAATTCTGATGACAGTTCGCCATAAGCCCTCACTCGACCAGTTGTGTTTGAGTAGAGAGCCTGTATAGGGTTGGTGTCCTTGTTTGGTACTCCTTCCAGTGACAAACACTTCCATTGAACCTCACGATGAACAAAGTCGAACGCCGCCTTAAGGTCGAGAAATACTACTATTGTGAGGCATCTGAATGTGTGTCTATGATCTAGGACCTGACGTAGTGTAAATATCTGGTCTATACAGTCACGTCCATGTCGAAAAACAGCCTGATTTTCTCTAGTCTGCTCTGCTCGAGATACTTTCGCTAACAGTTGGATCCCTAATGCCAATTTCCTTCACAAGTCTGAAGAGTTGTTTGCTGTTACTTATTGCCGCCGCCTTTTCCATCTCTTGCATTTGCTACCCACCACTGTTCACGACCATTGCATAGGCTTCTTGTCAGCTTGCGCATACGCTGACTCTGCCCTTCGTCATGTTCACAGCCAGATGGGATGAGTTTTCGAGCATCTATCAGTGCGGTAGATGATGCCGAGATCTAGTGATGCTCCCTAATCTTACGGTTTACTGTACTAGCAGATATCACTGCTGTTTCTACAGCTTTTCGAATATCATTTCACGCTGCCTCGGGGTGGGCATCACCTACATGGCTGCCTAACTGTTTTCTAGTTGTTCCTCAAATACACTCTTAGCTTGACTATCATTAAGTAGGACCCGAAGAGGTTTCCTTGCAGTGTCTTTCCTACGTCCAGTAAGAAGTAGAAAAATACGCGCTCGCACTAGAGCATGATCTGAATCTAAGCATGTGCTCCAGAACGAGCGACAGTCTTCTATCGAGCCCCTTCATCAGTGGCTGATAACGATGTGATCTATTTGGGTCCAACGTTGTGACGAATTCGAGGGTCGCCATGTCAAAAGATGTTTTGTTATATCCGAGCGAAGATTAAATCACGAGTGACTTCTGAGACATATTAATTGACTAATATTATCTATACATTCTTATGGTATAACTATTCAACAATTACATTATGGGAATTTATATTCCTCTTATTATAAGCTTTATTTTAACCTATAATTTATTATTGTACGACTTACTGTTCTTAAGCTATGTTGAGTTTATTGACTACTGCCTCCCACGTTCACAGTCACTTTTGGGCTTTATTGTGTACAAATGTTATTTCCTATTTGATGGTGCGTTGCAGTCCGTTTGTTTAATATATAAACACAGTGTGTTTGAAATATATGATTCGCATAGTGGAAGCTGGTATTGGTGTTCTGGACTGAAGTGGACGGGCTAGGCGGACATAGGACCAATAAGGACTCTAGGCTGCCCATACCGGTTGAACGTCATTGGTTTGGCATAGTGCTAAGATTGTATAAGTCGTATTTTGATTAGTGGATAAATCACGCGGTAAAAAGCCGGACATAAACTCATAACAGTTTTTGCTTATGCTTGAAGTTAGTGTTTGCAAGAAACAGGTGGTTATCTGAGCATAGCTGTAACAGACGGTCGCCATTATTTGTTCTTTGAGCCACGACACCATAAGATCCACCCAAGTGTCTTTCCCTTTCGCTTGGTTTACCTACTTGAGCATTAAAGTCACCAGCCACTATTACTACGTCAGAGTGCCTAGCTTTTCGGAGAAGATCGGAAAACTTTCTGTAAAACACATCTTTTACATCGTCTGAGCTGCAGTCAGTGGGAGAGTAGGTAGATACGACGAAGAGGCAACGACGAGTGTCCCTATCTTTCCGAGTCCTTACTGTTCTGTTTAGTCGGAGAGCGCACAAACGACTGTCTACTGGGATCCAGTCTAAGAGAGCTAGTTCTGCCCTAGGACTCAATGCTATACCTACGTCCGTTTAAAGAAATCTAACATCAAGAACATCAAAAAGTTATAACTCTTTGTCTGACCAATCATAGATGAAAATGTAGCACATTTTAACGCATAACACATACGTCTTCAAAGTTTGTTGTACAAACCAGCATCCTGTTCATTAGTCATTTACTTTTTCGTATTTATTAGCCTTTAATAAGTTAAGTTCGGTAGATGATTTGAATTTTAGCTACTGATAGTACATTAGTGTTTGTTCCGTTTGGATAGAGCAAAAGTGATACAGTAAGTGTATTTAGGTGAACGTACTTGTGAGTAACGGTGATTATAATCACCATTTATATACGATATCATATCGATAGGTAAAAAACATGATCTCAAAATGTGCATGCCCAGTTGTTGAGATAATTTGGAGCGAGACAACAGATACAATGTCTAAGGAATAAAGTAAATTTGTCTTATTCCAATCACAATTAATATTAGGATCAGTCAACGTAAAATGGAATGTTGTAACAGTTAAAATTATATATATCCCAAGGTCTATAAGTTACTTTGTGACCTCCATTACTCACTTATTCTATCCGATAACTGATACAATCACACCATGACGATCGAAAATTTTGTGTACATATTCCAGTTTCATTTGCTAAATACGTACTAATGTAGTTAGCCATTTGGAAAGTAATACAATCTTCTAAGATCTATTTGATTAAGTAATTAGAGTTTGATTCCGTTGAGAAAATTACCAGTCTCAATATCTCAGTCATTTCAATATTTTCATCTAATGTCATTTCATGCTATAATCTCAATGTCTCAAATATTTCATTTCAAGTGAGGATGACGAACCCAACCTACAACGAAAGTGTTTAATTAAGGAAACTGGAATTGATGATAGTGATTGACTGATACTCATGTGTTTTACTTCTAAACAAGCCACTCTATTCTAGCTTAAAGACTAAATAATAAATTCTGAGTACAAATATACCAATTATTGATCATATTAGTCAACAATAATGAACGAAATCAGTACCGTTAATAAAAGTGAGTTATTTTAGTTTACGAGTCAGTCTTTTTTTTACCTTTGAAATAGAAAATGAACTAATAGACAAAGTTTATTTTACGTTTATTCTTCGTATAAGTCCGTTGATCCGCTCACTCATTTTAACTGACATCATGTGACTGTCAATATTAGATCATTGTCAATTTAAACAAATTACAAGCAGAGATGAAATAAATCGTGCAGAAAATACGGTTTTGTATATGCGAAAATCGGTGGTCTATTTGAAACACCAAAAGTAAATGTTTTTGTTTCATAATTGCAATCATGAATCGATTGATGTTAGACCACAATTGAAAACTTGGAAACACTGAATGGCTGTTTCGTCCTAGTATGGGACTCCTCAGCGGCGCACATCCACGGCCCCATTTGCGGGATTCGAACCCAGGACCTTCGGTTTCGCGCGCGAACGCTTAACATCTAGACCCCTGATCCAGCATCCAGCAGTGTTAATTATCTCTTCACGATTAATATATATATATATATATATATATATATATATATACATGCTTAGACATCGAACAAACTTAACATTGTTATTCAACAATCATTCCACTTTAAATGTAATAGCGGATGAATTCACCTTTTTTAGAAATACGAACTATAACCGAAAATGACTTATCAAACTACACAATACAATAAACCACTTGTTAGTCTACGTTATAGAACCTATTCCAACACCCTATGTGAACATGACAAAAGTAAGTAAAATAAAATATTTTTGAAAATTGAACCACAAATCGTATACCAAGTTTAATAAATTCATTATTAATTTATATTTTAGGTTTTTATTTATTTTGAAGAGGTTTTACATCATAATCTGATGTTAAGTAAAGAAACTTTAAAACCGGAAATCACTAGAAAGCTGTTTGGTTTTAGTTTGAGAATTAGTATCATTATCTTTTAATGATTCCAGACAGGATCTAGGTTAAATTCTTCATGTACTGCAATGAAATTATAATTCTATGCTAATGAATGAACAAAACAATTGTTCAGTGCATTCTAATCATCAGTGGTCGTTTTAACTAAAGTCAGTCAGTTCATAAGGGAGACTACAAATTGAACTATCTCCGAAAACCTTATATATTAAATTCACTTGATTTTGTTTACTTTTATCTTCCTATTGTTATTTAGGACTGTTGTTGATGAGTCTCCTATTGGCATATGTGTATATTGTGCGGACCGTCTCGACATTGCCTTAGATCACAAGCTTTATAAGCAAAGATGGATAATGGCTAGAAGTGGAATCCAGGACGCGTGTTTCGTCCTGTTTGGGACTCATCAGATGAATGTACCCGCATCTCAGAGTTGATGTTCACTCTAAGACTCGAACTCAGTACCGTTCGCTTCAAACGCCATCGCTTTATCCACTTAGCTACTGAGTCCTAATAGCCACCTGCTTATCTAATGGGGTGAAAATCTAAATTCACTTGATATCGTTTACTTCTATCTTCCCATTGTTATTTAGGACTACAATTGATTGAGTACCAAATAAAACAAAACGCGCGTCCTGAATTCCACTGCTAGCCATTATCCACTTTCGCTCATATATTAGTTTAGAAATGTTTGTAAATTATTTAAAACTGGTTTGATTTTTAGAAAAACCAGGTAAACTGAAACTAGAATAAAATTTCATAGTAAGTCTTTCATCAGTTACCATTTGACCTGAAATACAAGAATATTTTCAAGATAGAAGAATACCCAACAATCTTTCTGTTTGATTTCAGAATAATCTTAATGGATGGAAACAATCAATGAATAGAAAAATAAACACCTAGGTTTTTTACTAGTAAGTACTGATCAACAAAGATGACTCGTTATTTTAATTAAAATCCCTAGACTTTATAAAGGTACTCTGATTTAATAATGAAATCACAGATACTAAAGTTTTAACATTGAATTATTTAGTAACAAAATAGACAGTATTTGATTTTGAAGTTCGTAATGTTTTGACAATAGACATACAACATTATTTTACATAAAATTAAGATCATTAATTCAAACTGTTTATTTCTGTAAATAATCATTTTAGACAATGTACTCTTAGAAAAAGTCAATATACCAAAACTTGATGAAGAATGTGAGGTTAGTAAGTTGATTGATTTTTGTCAGTATGGGGTTGTATGGATGCTTGAATTTCATTGAGATCAAGAAACGTTCTCAAGTATAATATTTAAAAAAAACATTGAAAACCTGGAAACACTGGAAGCCCATTCTCTCCTAGTATTGAACTCTTCGTTAGTGCATATCCAAGATCCTACAGCCAGGAATCGAATTCAGGACCTTTGGTTTCTCTTATGATCACTGAGCCGGGATCCGATGGTGCACACATCTAGTTCCAATCAATCCGCGATGTTAATTTTTGTTTGTTTTATATATTTATGGTACTTTTTAAAAAAAAATTATTGATTACGCAATTGAAAAGATAAACACACAAAACCATGTGTATTAGTTTACAAGCTGATAGTGTTTGTTTTTACTGGATATATATACATATACAGAGTACTCAAAATAGTATTAAAGGATACAGTTCAATAGTAGGATGAATATCCTGAGTTTATTAATTTTATGATTAAAAAAGACATACAATATTAAATAATCATACTGTGTACCACTTGACAGACCAAAATTATAAATTATAGTAAAACACAGTACTATTAATTCGGTTGAGTAAACATCTATCTGATATATCTTGATAAATACAATCAAATAACCTGTGAACAATAAGAGTAGATAATTTCATACATTTTTCAGGTAATCGAAATATCGAACCATTGATAGATTTATTGATCAAAAGAAAGAACATTAGGTTAGGCTAATAGCTATCTTATATAAATTACTTACTTACTTACGCCTGTTACTCCTCGTGAAGGAGCATAGGCCGCTCACCAGCGTTCTCCATCCAACCCTGTCCTGGGCAATCCTTTCTAGCTCCGTCCAGTTGTAATTCATCGTTTTCATATCTGCTTCTATTATCCGACGCAATGTGTTCTTTGGCCTTCCTCTTTTTCGCTTCCCCTCAGGATTCCAAGTTAGGGCTTGCCTCGTGATGCAGTTTGACGATTTGCGTAATGTATGTCCTATCCATTTCCATCGTCTTTTCCTAATTTCCTCTTCAGCTGGAAGTTGCTTTGTTCTCTCCCACAGAAGGCTGTTGCTGATGGTATCCGGCCAATGGATGTTGAGTATCTTGCGAAGGCAGCTATTTATAAATACTTGTACTTTCTTGATTGTGGTTGTTGTAGTTCTCCAAGTTTCAGCTCCATACAGTAGAACTGCCTTGACGTTCGTATTGAAGATTCTCACTTTGATATTGGTTGAAAGTTGTTTTGAGTTCCATATGTTCTTCAATTGTAGGAATGCGACCCTTGCTTTACCGATCCTCGCCTTTACGTCTGCATCTGAGCCTCCTTGTTCATCGATGATGCTTCCCAGATATGTGAAGGATTCTACATCTTCCAGAGTTTCGCCATCAAGAGTGATTGGATTGCTGTTCTCCGCTTTGAATTTGAGGACCTTAGTTTTCCCTTTGTGTATGCTGAGGCCTACTGATGCAGAGACTGCTGCTACACTGGCTGTCTTCATCTGCATCTGTTCGTGTGTATGTGATAGGAGGGCTAGGTCATCTGCGAAGTCCAAATCGTCTAATTGATTCTGAGCTGTCCATTGTATTCCATGTTTTCCTTCAGATGTTGAGGTCTTCATAATCCAGTCGACCACCAGGAGAAAAAGGAAGGGAGAGAGTAAACAGCCTTGTCTGACTCCGGTCCTTACTTGGAATGCATCTGTCAGCTGTCCTCCATGCACTACTTTGCACTGTAGTCCGTCGTATGAGTTCCGGATTATATTGACAATCTTCTCAGGAATTCCGTAGTGTCGAAGAAGTTTCCATAACGTCCTCCTGTCTACACTGTCGAATGCCTTTTCATAATCAATGAAGTTGATGTATAATGATGAGTTCCACTCAACTGATTGTTCGACGATGATCCGTAGTGTTGCAATTTGGTCTGTGCACGACCGATCCTTACGGAATCCAGCTTGTTGATCTCGAAGTTGGGCGTCTACTGCATCCTTCATCCGGTTCAGCAACACTCTGTTGAAGACTTTCCCTGGTATTGACAGTAGTGTTATGCCTCTGTAGTTTTCACATTTGCTCAGATCTCCTTTCTTTGGAATCTTGACGAGGTGTCCTTCTTTCCAGTCCATCGGCACTTGTTCCTCCTCCCAAATCTTTTTGAATAGAAGATAAAGCATGCTTGTGGTTGTTTCGATGTCTGATTTCAGTGCTTCAGCTGGTATGTTGTCGGGTCCTGCTGCTTTCCCGTTCTTGATTTGTCTGACGGCCATTCTAATTTCTTCCGTAGTTGGTGGATTGACATCTATAGGAAGATCTATGTGTGCTGCTTCGATGTCCGGTGGATTCATTGGAGCCGGCCTATTCAGGAGTTCCTCGAAGTATTCTACCCATCTGTTACGTTGTTGTTGAATTTCGGTGATTGGCTTGCCTTCTTTGTCTTTGACCGGCCTCTCTGGTTTACTGTATTTCCCTGATAGTTTCTTCGTTGTATCGTAAAGCTGTTTCATGTTTCCTTCTCTAGCAACTTTTTCTGCCGTCGTTGCTAGTTCTTCAACGTATTTCTTCTTGTCGGCTCTAATGCTCCTCTTCACTTGTTTGTTTGCTTCTATGTATTCAGCTTGTGCTTGGACTTTCTCTGCTCGTGTTCGGCTGTTGTTTATTGCTGCCTTCTTGTTCTTCCTTTCTTTGATCTTGTCCACTGTTTCTGTAGAGATCCATTCTTTATGATGGTATTTCTTTAGACCGAGAACCTCTTGGCACGTTGAAGTTAATGCTTCCTTGATGCCTTTCCAGTTGTCCTCCATAGTAGTTTCTTCTTCTTTCAGTAGATCTCGTAAGGCTTGGAACCTGTTGTTGAGAGCTATCTTGAATTCATTGAGTTTGACAGTATCTCGAAGGAAGGCTGTATTGAACCTTTGTATTGCTGTTTGTCCACTTGTCCAGTTCTTTTTTAGCTTCAGTTTCAAATTGGCTACAACTAGGTGGTGATCTGAAGCTACGTCAGCACCTCTCCTGGTTCTCACATCTTCCATTGTCCTTCGGAATTTTTTGTTGATGCAAATATGATCTATTTGGTTCTCTGTAGTGTGGTCCGGTGAGATCCATGTAGCCTTGTGTATACGCTTGTGTGGAAATATTGTGCCTCCTATGACCAATTTGTTGAATGCGCATAGATTTGCAAATCTTTCTCCATTTTCGTTTCTTTCTCCCAGTCCATGTCGTCCCATAATATCTTCATATCCAGTGTTGTCTATTCCGACTTTGGCATTTAGATCTCCCATTAAAATGGTGAGGTCCTTTCTTGGGCATTTCTCTATGATTGACTGCAGCCGCTCGTAGAATTGATCTTTATTGTCGTCGTTGCTATCATTGGTGGGTGCATAACATTGGATAATATTCATTAAGATCCCCTCCTTCTTTGTTTTGAATGATGCTTTGATGATTCTGGATCCGTGAGATTCCCATCCTACAAGTGCATTTCGTGCTACTTTGGACAGCATAAGAGCGACTCCCTGAGTGTGTGGAGCATTGTCCTCTTCGTGACCGGAGTATAGCAGCATCTCTCCCGTAGCTAGCCTTTTCTGTCCAGCTTGGGTCCAGTGGGTTTCGCTGATTCCCAGTACTGCTAAGTTGTATCTCCTCATTTCCATTGATATTTGACTGGTCTTCCCGGTTTCCCACATTGTTCGAACGTTCCATGTACCTATAAAAATTTTTGCTCTGGTTGTTAGAAGGGGCATCGGCCTCGTGGCTTCCGAAGGAACTCGGCTTTCACCATGAAGCGTCATAATTCTTCTAAATGAAGACCTTCTAACTCCCAGTGCAGAGTTAAAATGGTTTGGATTATTTTTTCTGGTAAGCGTTTTTTTAGCGAGTTAGTTTTCTACGGGATGGGGACGCTAACCCCATGCCCAACCCTCCTCCTTTACCCGGGCTTGGGACCGGCAGCAACCCTATAAGAGCTACAGGCGGAGTTATCTTATATAAATACATCAACAATATTATTGAGTGTAGGTCAGTCAGTTATAATCAACGTAAAATTTGCCATAAGTGTACGTTAGCACAAGTTGCTAAAACACATCAGTACAATGATATTGTCTTACAAAAAGTAGTATTTAAAAACAGCTACAAGTCAATCCAGAGAAAAGTGTCTTCGACTAAGCGAACTATGAAAGATCGTTACAGTGAGAAGATAAATTCAAAACTGTAGACAATAAATGAGGAAATATTGAGTAATATAAATAGGTTTTCCCAGAGTCTAAACCACTTTCAATAGGGTCTCATTGGATAAGTGATATATGCAAATGATGTGATTTATTTTTAAAGGGATTTACTTAAAATCAATGTCAATTACTATTGTATCAAGCTAAATAATCAATCACGTTTCGTACCAAAATAAAGAAACATATTGAAATTAAATGGTATGTCACAGAATAAAACTTGTAGTTTACACAGATAAGGGTAAGATATATTAACATAGAGTGCGTAATTCGTACACAATTTCTGAAATAGTTTTATGTTTAGACTTCTTGAAATGTTTAGCTGAATATTGTAAATGAAATCCAAGGCTACTTTGGAGCCAGGTACATAGGCCGTTCATCAAGGCATCTTAAATAGTGTGATAACATCTAGGATGATTTATTAAAGTACAATGAAGACCAGTTATATTAATTCATTTTTTAATAGGTTGAGAATTTCAGATATTCATTCTTAAACAAAGATGGATAGTGGCTAGCAGTGGAATCCAGGACGCGCGTTTCGTCCTGTTTGGGACTCGTCAGCTGGATGTAAAAACAATACCAAGTGAATTAAACTTCACCCCATTGCACAAGCAATTGACTATCAGGACTCAGTAGCTAAGTGGATAACGCGATGGAGTTTGAAGCGAACGGTACTGAATTCGAGTCTTAGAGTGAACATCAACTCTGAGATGCGGGTACATCCAGCTGATGAGTCCCAAACAGGACGAAACACGCGTCCTGGATTCCACTTCTAGCCACTATCCATCTTTGCTTATAATGCTTGTAAATTAAGGCAATATCGAGGCATACGCACAGTATGCACATATGCCAATAAGAGACTGATCAATTTCAGTCCTAAAAACATCAATGGGAAGATTCAGGTAAAAGCAATACCAAGTGAATTCGTGTTTAAAGTTTTTATTTGATATCATCAACCCTCCATTTATATTTGTTAATAATCAAATACTTTTAATCTTGATCACTTTGTAGAATACTGACCTTAAAACAAGTCATTAAAACTCAATAAGTAGTCGTTTATATGACATGTTTTCTGAACTGAGTGATTTAATTACTATATTTCTAGATAAAATCACTAACGTATACTTAGAACAGGAATAAGTGATTATTAGGATTACTCTATAAATTCATTTTTGTGTTGATTGTTTGAATCTTCCCATTGATGTTTAGGACTGCAATTGATCAGTCTCTTATTGGTATATATGCATCCTGTGAGGATTGCCTCGATATTGTAATACCCTATAAATATTTAACAGTTTCTGATAATATGAAATTCGATTAAATAATTAACTACAACTCTAAAATAAAGTTTAACAGTCTTCTACACAAATGAAACTTTCTAATGATAACTAACATTTATATGTCATATTGTAATATGTGCTACTTGTTTGGACAGATATAAGTAGTATGTATCAGGAATTAAAAGTAGAATTCTTACGAACAGAATAGAAGAAAAAGGAAAAAAGAAAGCAATAAAATAACGACAGGAATGATGAATGTTAAAATTTATAAGGGATAACTCAAAGAAGATGAACAAATAGTGTAGTTAACGTGTTATTTTCATATTTCATAAATGCAGTGTGTGATTTTGTGTAACATAACAAATTGGTTGACCCGTCCTAAGTCTCCATTCATTACAATTTATAGAAAATTAACGTTAATATAATAAATTTAAGAAGAGTTCGACATGAAATGTGTTTAATCTACCAACAGTTTGCCCAGTGTACATTATATGAAAATGATGAAGAAAAATTAAATCAGGCAATTTATCAATTGAAAAGTGATTTAGGTAAGTTAATATTAGGCGTTAAATTAAATTTTAATTGTAATAATACCATAAACATTTGTATGGGTTTATATGACACCATTGTATAGGTTAAGGACCATAACTGATCAGTTTCTTATCAGTATGGGGGTTGTGGAGATTGTTAAGTTTTTGGTTGAGATCATGAATTAATTGATGTTAGACCACCGTTAGAAACCTGGAAGCACTGGACGGCCGTTTCATCCTAGTATGGGACTCCTCAGCAGTGCGCATCCACGATCCCGCACCCCGCGGGATTCAAACCCAGGACCTACTGGCTTCGCGCCTGAGCGCTTAACCATTAGACCACTGAGCCGGCCGTCCAGTGCTTCCAGGTTTCCAACGGTGGTCTAACATCAATTAATTCATGATCAGTTTCTGTTGGTATATATACATCTAGAGAGGATTACCTTAATAGTTATCTTAAGCCACATGTTTTTATATTAGTGTTGAATAATGTCAAGAAGTAGATTCTAATGGTATGCAAGCACTTTTAACTAAAGAATCCTTAATCTCACTGCTAGTCACTACCAACTTTAATAAATATCAATGACAATTTTTGATGTGTAAATGAGTTTTTTACTGTTGATTTGAATGATCCTTTACTTTGTTTTAAAGGTTTACTAGCCTAACTGTAATCAATCGACTGATATAGTATGAATCACCAGAACCAACGACTTCATATAACGATACATTGTGCTTGCACAGATTGATTACTTGATTGATTACTAGTGCCATGTTTATCTAGTCAATCTAGCACTGATCGAATTTCATCGATCAATTTGCAATATGGCTACTGATCTAAATGACTATCTATTCATCATAAATATTGAACCAAGAAACATTTCCTATGGTATTCAGTTTTATTAGAACAAACAACTATAGTTATGAGGTCAAAATCAAGCCTCCTTTGTTAAACAAATCCAGAAACTTATTTAATAGAATAATTCAGCCATTTGGAGTAAATTTTTTAAAGGATGTAACACTCTTAGTAACAGGTTCTAAATGTTGGAAAAGAACAGATCAATTTACCAGTAATAAAAAGTGACTTAAATTATTAATAGATTTCAGCCTAAAAACATATTTTCGTATTTGTGATCATACTACTTGAACCTGTTACGTAACTTTATTCTCAATGTTCCAGTTCTTTGTAAACACTGATCATTGCAGTATTGCTACCAAAAATGAGCTGTTAAGAAAAAATGAGAATGAATGTTATTTAGATTTATTTATATTATATCCTTTTGATAATATTTTACTTAGAAAACTTCAACTGGAAATTAGAAAGATCCTATCGTTATAAAATGAAAATTAGTTTATTGCCAAATTTCCCAGAAAATCTTACACATTGTAATGTGGAGTTATTCAATCGAATTAATGAATTATGTAGTGTTTTAATCAAAACGTCGGATAATCTGCAGGTATGTTTAGTTCAAGAAAAATTGTTTTAACCATTGATATATTACAGAGTCGTAGATAATGTAAAAGTAAATTTGTATACTGGGGAAAAAATCCAGTCTACGTGATTACTCAATATGGAATCTGATAAAGTACTATGACAAGATAATGGTGTGGAAAAAGTGCTCGTGGTAAAGACTTTGTTTGTTCTTGGCTTTTGAAATCGGCTGCTGTCTCCTCTCTATTGTATTGACTTAGCTGGAAGGAAAAGACGGAATATATCCCACCCAAAATCATTTCTCAGTAACCTAAATATCATAATCAAATCATTTCTTAATCCATGTTCTAAATTATCAAGCAGCAATATGCGTGATAAGACACCCGACTCAGGAACTGATCTGGTAGATGTCTTCTGTACTTTTTTCATGATATCTGAGTCACTTCCCAATTTAAAACTCCCTAGGGTTATATGAATGGTGTTAATTATATATGTATGCAGCACGGTCAAAGTAAATCTTAATCATAAACGGCTCCAAACCCCTTTGCTTCAACCAAAAGACAGTGATCTGTGGTCTTAAGGCCACGACTAACTATGATTTGTAAATTATAGTAAGTTAGAACTAAATGCACTGACGTTTTCCCAATATTATTGTTATTGCCATCTGCGTGACTAATATGTATATAGATACACTCAGACACATCAGCAAACACAAACCATAACTCATATCGGCTTGCCAGGACATCGAGGTCGGCCTGGAGTCCCCTTATATCAGTATCTTCTGATAATACCGGCCATATTTTGATGTTATCAACGTAAAATTGGAACTTGATAATACTAGGGAGTTTGGAACCTAATAGCTACACCAGTTTAAAGTACTACGTACTTTAGTAGGATTCATTCAAAATCTTGGTCGACTGAGTGATATTCAAGTGGGAATAAAAGAAAATGAATGACAGACAGAGTGAAACTGATTCCCATCTTTTGCTGACCACACCAAACCAATTCGTTCACCTTCAAGGATTGCGATAGACAATTCGACGCTAATTGATAAGTCTTTCGACATAGATATACATTCAGTATGACAGATAATATGATTAAAGTCTACCATTTTGCCGAACGACTATATAACACGGAGGTCCGTGGTTAAACCCCTATAGAAGTGATATGTGTGTAGTCCTTTGTACGTCAAACAAATCCAAAATAAAACAACATCTGTTCAGCGCTCTTGAGTTTTAAGCGATTCTTCAGAATGATACAAGTCCATGACTGGAACTTACTTCAACTGTTAACAAGAGCTGTATTACCGATGAGTGAACCTGTACGCTAACATGTTTACTAACCGAAATTAAATACGGTCAAATAATTATGGGAATCGATACAACAATGATACCAGACTGATAGAGATAAATGTGTCCAATTAAACTGTCAATTTATATGTACTGAACAAATGTGGTATGCTTTAAACCGTTCAAATAATATATTTTTCCTTACGTTAATTGATAATATATACATTTCGAAAAGTTTTTATAAGTTCTACCTTTTTTTTACAGAATCATATCCTGTCCTATACAAAAAATCTTTTGGACTACAAGTCAGATTTTTTAAGCGCAGCTCAATTTAGATTCATACAACCAATAGACTTACAAATAGATGATTCTCTAAAAGATGACTCAATAATCAATGATCAAATTGACAAAATACGAACATATCAAACCAATGTAAATAATTCACGAATATTATTGAATGAAGTAGACAGAATGAATCAAAGAATAAAGTATATATTTAGAAATTTGTTAAAATCTACAGCAGACTATTTAATATCACCTAACTCTTGATTTTTGTTTTTGTGAACTATGTATAGATTGTATTGTTTATTAGGAAGAGAACAAGAAGACAGTAATATTTTCTTTAAAATAAATCGTTTCTAAAGATTGCTCGGATTTAATTATTCCAAATACTGCAAAGAATTTGGTATATCCCAATGTTAATAGGAGAATTCAGATTGATGGGGTAAAAAAAAACTTATTGTCGTAGTCAACATTATAATAATCAAAGTACTATAACAAGGTATTCACCAAACATTACTGATTATCGATAAGTAAATAACTAAAAAAAAATCCTTGTTCGATAGATTTTACTCCTTTTATGCAAACAGAAAAATGTGTCCAACTAGTAATTGGACAAGTTTTGTTCACTGTAGAATGCTTATTCGGTCAATACAGAGGTAAATTGTGTCCACAATTACCTATATTTTCATCTAAATACTTGACTCGTTTATTTAACCGTTTTAGCATACGAAGTGACTTCTTAAGATACATGAATCTAGTTATTGCAGTACTAAGCACCCTTAAATGTTTGTTGTTGTTTATTAACATGTATACTGCAATGAGTAGTGGAATGTGTTTCCTCCCCTACCAAAAATAACTTACTTACGCCTGTTACTCCCAATGAAGCATAGGCCACCAACTAGCATTCTTCAACCCTTTTTGTCCTGGGCCTTCCTTCTCAGTTCTATCCGATTTTAGTTCATTTTTCTCACATCTGTTTCCATTTCTCGGCGTAGTGTGTTGTTTGATTTTCTCCTTCGGCCTTGAGGATTCCAAACGATGGCTTACTTTGTGACACAGTTGGGTGCTTTCCTCAATGTGTGTCCTATCCACTTCCAGCGCTTCTTCCTGGTTTTTCCCTCCGCTGAGATCTGGTTTGTTTTCTCCCACAGTAGGTGGTTGCAGATAGCGTCTGGCCAACGGATCCTGAGTATTTTGCGTAGACAACTGTTAACAAACACTTGTATCTACTGGATGATGGCTTTCGTAGTTCTCCAGGTTTCTGCCCCGTACAGTAAAACTGTTTCGACATTTGTATTGAAAATTCTGACCTTGATGTTGGTTGACAGTTGTTTTGAATTCCAGATGTTCCTCAATTGTAAATATGCTGCTCTTGCTTTACCGATCCGCGCCTTCACATCTGCATCAGACACACCATGTTCATCAATGATGCTGCCCAGATATGTGAAGGTTTTTACATCTTCCAAACCTTCGCCGTCAAGTGTGATTCGATCGGTGCATGCTGTGCTCTATCAGAGACTCTTGCTTTTCTCCTTGTGCATATTGAGACCTACTGCTGCTGAGGATGCTGCTACACTGGTCGTTTTCTCCTGCATTTGTTGTTGCGTTTGAGATAGGAGGGCCACATCATCTGCGAAGTCTAGATCGTCCAGCTGCATCTTAGATGTCCACTGTATCCTGCGCTTCCCTACAGACGTCGATGTCTTCGTGATCCAGTCGATCACCAGGAGAAAGAGAAAGGGTGAGAGTAAGCAACCTTGCCTGACACCGGTTTTTACGTCGAACGAGTCTGTCAATTGTCCTCCATGCACGATTTTGCAGTGTAATCCATCATATGAATTCTGTATGATATTGACTATCTTCTGAGGCACGCCGTAGTGTCGAAGAAGTTTCCATAGTGTTGTCCTGTCCACGCTATCAAATGCTTTCTCATAGTCAATGAAGTTGATGTAGAGTGATGAATTCCACTCAATCGATTACTCCACAATGATCCGTAGAGTTGCGATTTGGTCTGACTGGTCCTGACTGTTGGTATCGTAGTTGAGCGTCTACGCAGTCCTTCATCCCGTTTAACAATACCCTATTGAAGACTTTTCCCGGTATTGAGAGAAGAATGATGCCTCTGTAGTTATCACACTTGCTGAGATCGCCTTTCTTCGGTATTTTGATCAGAAGTCCTTCTTTCTAGTTTGTTGGTACTTGTTCCTCATCCCAAATCTTATTGAAGAGAATGAGGAGTATCCTTGCAGCTGCCACTACGTCTGCTTTCAGTGCCTCTGCTGGAATGTTGTCTGGTCCTGCTGCTTTGCCACTCCTGATTTGTCTGATGGCCATGCTGATTTCTTCAATTGTTGGTGGGCCAACATTGATTGGGAGGTCCGTGGGTGCTACTTCGATGTTGGATGGGTTCAGTGGGGGTGGTCGATTCAAGAGTTCTTTGAAGTGTTCTACCCACCTGTTTTGTTGCTCTTCAATGTTGGTGATTACCTCGCCTTCCTTGCTTTTTACTGGTCGTTCTGCTTTGCGGCGATTTCCAGAGAGTTTCTTTGTCGTGTCATACAGTTGTCTCATGTTTCCTTTTCTTGCAGCCTTTTCCGCCGTCGTTGCTAAATCTTCCACATATTTACGTTTGTCGGTTCTGATGCTCCTCTTCACTCGTTTGTTTACTTCTGTGTATTCAGCTTGTGCCTTGGCTTTTTCTGCTCTTGTTCGGCTGGTGTTGATTGCTGCCTTCTTGTTCTTCCGTTTTTGAATCTTATCCAGTGTATCAACAGTTATCCACTCCTTGTGATGGTGCTTCTTGTGGCTCAGAACCTCATGACATGTTGAAGTGATTGCCTCCTTGATCCCCTTCCAGTTGCTCTCCATAGTAGTTCCTTCTCCATTCAGTAGATCGTGAAGGGCCTGGAACTTATTGCTAAGGGCTATCTTGAATTTGTTGAGTTTGTCAGTATCTCGAAGAAAAGCTGTATTGAACTTTTGTGGTGTTGTCCGCCCCGATGTCCAGTGCATCTTGAGTTTCAAATTCATCTTGGCGACTAGCAAGTGATGATCTGATGCTATATCAGCTCCTCTCTTGGTTCTCACATCCTCCATCGTCCCCCTGAACTTTTTGTTGATGCACATAAGGTCGATTTGGTTTTGTGTAGTGTGATCCAGTAGAGTCCATGTGGTTTTATGAATGCGTTTATGTGGGAATATAGTGCCGCTTTTGAAAAGTTTATTGAAGGCACTTAGGTTTGCAAATGTGCCAAAAACAAAGTCTACGATAAATAAGGTTCGAACAAACATTGAGTACTGCTTAGTGTGGTGCGACGCAATGAATTAGTGTGATAAGAAATGGATAAATAACTGATGAATTTGACTCCGTGAAGTTATTAAGACCCCAACAAGACTTATGAATCACAGCACTGAAACATGTGTGTACCGATCCTTAGGGCGGACCTGATGAAGCTCTAATTGACTATAACTGGGTTGAATTGGGTCTGACTTTAAGTTCGGCTACACACAAAGACAAATTCAAGTTCAGTGATTCAGTTGGTAGTTTTATTTGTTTACATAAACGTCATTATATTGTCCCCTGGGTAGGTTTGACTGTTATGCTTTACATATCGTCATCTTTCACTGTACTATGAAGTGTTAAGAACCAGTGAAAGTTGTCTACTGACAACTGAAAGCAAGGATCTATTGTGGCAGTCATTGCTATTATTTGTGTGAACCTTTGAATGATACACTCGTGCTGGTGGATGAATAATATATTTATTGTAATAAGGAAGGATATACAGGAGCCATGCTTGTATGACTGAGCCACGGAGCACTGATCATTCTTCTCCTGTTGATACTTATTGACCTTCACTCTGTTTCGCCAAGTATTCAACGACCAGTGAGAATTTTCAGTGCTAGTGTATGTTTAGTTTCAAAGATGATGTCTTGTGATGATTCAATGTAATTTTAGTGTTACCAAAGACCTAGTGACATCGATGAGAAAGCTTTCCTTCACAGCGTGCGCTCACTGTTCGTTAGTCGGATACCATCAGCAACAGTCTAACGTGAGGGAGGACAAACCAACTTCAAAGTTAAGGGGAAATTAGAAGAGGCCGTTTGAGGTGGATAGAAAATACGTTTTAAAAATCAATAAACCACATCGAGAGGAAAGCTCTGACATGGGATCCTAAAGGGAAAAAAAGAAAAGAGGAAGACCAAAGAACACACTTAGTTGGGAATTGGAGGTAAGCATTCAAAGAACGAATGCCAAATAGTTAAAACTGGGAGAAATTGCCAAAATATAATTCAGTGGGAAATTCTACTAAGTGTCCTATGCACCTCCATGAAGGGTAACAGACGTAAGTAAATGAGTACTCATCCGTCGGAAATATATTAGGTTTTCGAAAATTCTGTGCAGCAGACTTGTTCCGAAATTTCCATCAGTTAGGCATTTGACTGGAAAAATAATATACTGACGTGCTCTACACATCTCTGAAAATTGAAGGTCGAAGGCTCACTATTTTGTCCCCAAACGACCTTGTCAATTCCATTGGCGCTGTTACGATGTTAGTTTGAGCCAGGATGTTTCCCGTTGGCCAAGGGAAATATGAATGTTTGGTTAATGAGTATGACCATTCACACCCAGATCCAAATCTAAGAGGAACTCAGAGTTTCCAGAACAGAAAAGGAGCATGGGATCATATCCAAAATTTGGATCAGTTTTTCTCGGACATTTACAAATATCATCAAAGTGGGGGTTTCACTGTAAGTTTAATTAGTCCTACTGTATTTCTAAGTACATACCGATAAGTATCATAAAGTTTTTGCTCGTATCTGGTGTATCCTATAACAGTAGGAAAGAGAATATGTCCCTTCACCTTGACCCTATCTTCAATACAAGGGTCTATCGTTTTGGTCTTGGTATAACTGAAACGATTATATTAACACTATCAATTCTCTCAGAACTTCCTGATTTTCATTAACTTTGCCAGCAAAGTGAAGTCTCCGGGACTTATTCTTGTCACATCACCTTAAACTGACTTATTTTCATATACTCTACGACAGTTTTTCACATTGACTTTGCAAAATATCAGTTTGCTAGAATAAAAAGTTACTATTCTCAGCCGACTCTTCACCAACTGACACCATATTCACAGCTAATTGTATCAGAACCGTGATACAAATATTATTTTTATTGAGTTTATACATCCGATCCCTGTTGCCTGTTAACCTATATTGACATCCCGATGCCCTATAAATACTGAAGAAAGTTTGGTTTTACC